GAGTTACTTTTTGTTTTCCGCGGATCTTTTAATAGTAGCTTTGGGAGCAACGTTGTAGGGAGTTAAGAAGCTAAGAGGATCGAAAAGCTTTTGTACTGTTTACAAAATTAATCATTTGGATATTTTCATTTCACATGCCGATGGCTGTAAATTAGTACATCATCTTTTAAGTGTCATTATCTAAGCCCTACAGTAATCTTAAAATGGAAGTTTCTCCAGACTGCTTGTCAACATTTTTACAAGCATCATTGCTTTCAAAATCACCAAATTAAAAACAGCTTCTAGACATGATTGACCTTGTTCTGTCAAGTGAGCTTGTTCTTAATTATTAAAAACTCCTGATATGCAAATGTCCACATAAAATGAGTTTTTCAATATTTTAGCAGTATCATCATATGGTGGAGGGCAATTTTTTTAAAAAGATGCATTCAACAAATAAGAGCTAGAACAAATACCACTCGACAATTTCTATAAATTTCTTGCCCTTCATTATGTGGGGAAGAAAAATCTCTCCTTTGGGATGTAACAGTTAACATCAGAAAAGCTTTTCTAATGTCAGCTTTATTCAATCGTATACATTTTAAAACAGTCAAGGATATTCTATGAGATTAACTGTATTTTTTTTCTTTAGATTAACTTCTTTAAATAAACAATCTTTTAAATAGGGTTTCTCTCTTTGAAAGTTAGAAGTTCCAAAAACTGAATGAACTTTTGAAGTTTTACCATGTAATTTAATCACTGACTTGTGAGGCAAATAGTGACATTCGTTATTCTGTTTTCATTATGTGTTTAATGATACTCACTTTTTTACCATTCCTGGAACACTTTTAGATTAATCATATGAAAATTTACCCCATTTTTAACTTATGAATCACATTTCCATGCTTCTTCCAGTTAGTTCATTATTATCAGCTAAATGTGTAGAGGTAATTCTAGTTTGTATATCCTATCTTGAAGAATTTACATTTGTCTTCAAAATCAGTAAATTATATTTCTCCTTAAAGGTTTTTGGATGTATCTGTACTGCTTAAATTTCACGCTCTCATAATGTAAGGAATTATCAAAGGAATATCCCTTACATGCATTGACAAAGTCATTAAATGCTAGTACTTGCACACGGATTCTGTTTTCCAGTTACCACCAGAAGTTTAGTTTTTATGGCTGTTGGACATCAATCTAGCTTGACTGAGTTCTCAGTCAGCAGTTTTCTCAAAACATCAGCCCATTAGAAAGTCCCAATATGCTATATCTATTTTATTTCAGCCTTTTAAAATTATAAAGTCATTAAGTTTTGGAATAAATCTGCTTATCTTTTTCTCCAAAAGAACTTCAAGCGCTGACTTTGATAGTAAATACTTTATTCCTTTTGGTTTTGTTTCATCCTGCCAAACAATACATGCAATGCAGTTTCATTTCATCTAAGTGAAAGGACATAGGGACATTCAATAATATCTTTTTTTTTATTATTATTATTTTATTTTATTATAAGCATAACTATTTTGGCTATCCAAATCACACAGAGTACAAATTTTTCTCTCTTGACCTTAAGGCCACATGACTTTGTAAAGGGTTTTCAATTTTTTCAAGCAGTTTCGCTTTTACGCCAAATAGAAAGGAAATTCTCAGTTTTACATACATTCTTTTTTCCTTGTTTAGGGTACATAATGTCTAAATGAGATTATTACATTGAGCAGCTGATTTTTAAAACCTGCTTAAATGACCTGCTTTTTTAAAACATCATAAAAATGCCTCTTTCTTTAATAATGACTGTTGTTTATCACTTAAAGTCATCTTTCTTGCTATAAAATATCTTTTATTTGGGTGGAACTTATCACAAAAAAAATACAATTAAGTAGCTTACCTGTACTGTTATCAAGGCTTGCAAGGCAAAGGCCATCGCAAGTACATCTTCCTTAGTTTTTTCAGAAACAGAGTTCTCCTTTTTCAAATTAATCTGAGAATCAAACCCAAGCCTTGCTGATAGCACCATTTCTTTGCCTTGAACATTTTGATGAAGAAAATCCATCAATTATTCTAAAAATGGACACTTAAAGAAAGTGATTCCAAGAAAATATGAATAATTTATGTTTCTTTCTCATGTAAGCAGCTTCCAGAAGGCTGTTTTCTACTATAACGGAATAGAAAATCCCCAAATTTTTCTTGCACTCTTCCTAAGCTTTCCACAGCTCTCAGTTTAGCTTTTAATTCATCATATAAAGCTGCCAAATTGGCCTTGGTTTGTTCAGTCATGGGGATCTTCATAGCCATGTTTAATATATCATGAACGTAAATCTGGACAAGCAGATCATGTCTTTGAAATTGTTTTTGTAACTATTTAATGACATTTGGGTGATTGATGTGAAAACTCTGAATTAGACATTAACTTTCAATTATAGCTCCATAGATTTCCTTAGATATTAAAACTTAATCAAATATAGATCTATCTGTGAATCTTCTGCAGAAGAACAAATAATCCTGTTGGTTGTCTTAAAATTTCATCAGTTCAGTTTGGTAACTTAAATTTTCTTTTTTCATTTCTAGCTACATAAGTTTCTTGAAATTGTTTTTCCACTTTCAGATAAAAATAAGAAATGTTTGTTGCTGTTGGTTTCAACTTCTTCCTCTTTGCATTTGGAAAGTGAACACAGAAGCAAATGAGGGATTTTTTGAGTTGTAATGTTACTGGTGCCTTTTATGTTTAATGTTAATTAATTTTATGGGCTGGAAATATTACGTTGTATTTTTATTTAAGAGAAGCAGAATATTTTGTCACTTTTTCCTTTTACATGCTAAGATTCTGAAATCTTAATTTGATCCCATTGTATTTTTTAAATCTAACTAGAAAAAGATGATATTTGAAAAAATTGTCGTAATTTACTAAATGATGATATAATGTTTTATGAATGCTGTCCTAAATATGGAAAATATTCTAGTGCCTGGCAGGAAAAATTAATCCATTCTGTGATTGTGTTCCTTATGCGAATTTTTCATTGTCTAAACTCAACACTGTTTCCCGTAGGTACTGTAAAGAAAATTCAGTGTTATAAAACATATTAGTCACTCTTCATCTCAGCCCATCTGTGATTTGGACCTCTTCTCAATTATTATTAAATAAACTTTTAAGAAATGTTGAATTAGTCTTAATTTTCATTACTTCAAAAAGGCACTGATAGTTGCAGTTGGCATGGAATCTCTGTTAGCTTTTTCCTGTTCTGGGCCTCGTGTTCCTGACCAAGGAAAGCTTTTATTACTTCATGGATAATATAATATGAAGAAATGTGGTTATTTGCCAAACTTCTTTGCTCACTGTCTTTGTGTGGTCCACCAGCAGCCGAGTGGTAAAGACGCTGGACACTGGTAGTTCGGTCTGAGGTTCGAATCCTGCAAACGGGCTGGCTGCATGGGCGTTTTCGTGGTTTTCACCATGTGTAACGTGTATACGAGCCAGTTTCCCTTAGAAAGTCCTCCACGAAGGCATCCCTCCCTTTAGGCAGATAGACCTCGTGTGCTTTGCCATAATTAAATAACCCAATCCAATCCACTGTCTTTGTGTATGTATGTCTCAATTTTATTTGCATACTATTAAAAAAGTTAAGTTAAATTTAGTTTAGCCTTGAGTATGTGATGAAATTCACATTCAGTTCATAACATAAGCCCAAGTTAACTATGTAAAAGTTTTCTAATAAATACATGCATTTATTATGTGATACAATAATCATGCTATATCTGTGCTATATACTGTGATCTGATATAGCTATGTAGTTTTGAAATGTATTTTTGACTGTACTTTTGATATCTTTTAGATATTAAATCTTAACATTCCTATGAATCAAATTACTTAGTTTAGTAAAAGTTTTAAATCATTTTTTAATTCAAAATTTAAAAGTTATCAATTAAATTTTATTTTCTTGATATTTGTCCCATTTTGGCTTTCATATGTGAGGCAAATCTAAACTTTGGTAAAATGTGTTGTAATGTTCAATATTTAGTACAGTACAAAGTCTTTAATCCTGACTCGTCGGGACTTCGGCGATTCCAGATTAGGGTTTTTTCCGGATTATAGATCATCAATTTAAATCTGGTAAGATGGCATGCAGAAATTGTAAAATTAAAAATATGAAACCGTAATTTATGAAATAAAGAGCAATTATGATCTAAAGAGTATCAAAATTCACACACACAAAAAACTTAATGTTTGTTTACTATATTAAAAATTTCTTTCATCGCGCGCATGTGTAAAGCATACATTGCGCATAGTCGAAATTAGAAAATTGCAACCAGAAAACTGTTTGATTTAAATAATATCAAAGATGGAGTACATCGAGATGAAATACTACATTTAGTAAGGAATTATAAGCTGAATAAAATAAAAACATCTACCCTGAAGATAAGAATAGATCAACTTCCAGTTCATTGCGCGCCGTGACGCCCCCCCTCGCAGAGCAGCGTGAAATTGATAAACAGATTTGGGAATGGTTAGAAAACAAAGGATATGCCTTATCCATTTTTTGCAGCAATTCCACTTTTTTTGATGGACTCGGAACATACTTTCGCTTTGTAGATCATTTGCAGCTGAAGCGGAAACTCTTTTTGACATAATCGAAAGTTCAAGCTTACTTTTTTATAAAATTGCTCTGTCTGCAAAAAATAATAAGCTGAATCCAGTTAGAAGATTAATTAACAACACAATCTACAACATTAACTGAAATAGATAATTAGATAATTTTAGCCTAGCGTATACCGTCCGCTATACATTAAATGCGCATGTGTAAAGGTATTATGCGCAATGCGTTTACGCATGCGCAGAAAGTTTGTAGCTTTGAGGTCCAGATTATAGATCATTCCGGATTATGGACGTCCAGACTAAAGACTTTGTACTGTAGTAATTTATCAAAACAAAGTGATTAAATGTGTTTTAAATGAAATAATATGCCTGCTCCTCTTTGTGAGTAGCAAAATCTTTCTTCTCAACATTTTATGCCATGTTTAATATTTTTCAGGTATATACTGGTATTCAGAATACCTTTTCTGTGCACAATCTTTCACCTGGGACTGAATATTCCGTTCGAGTGGCTGCTGTGAGGCATTGTAGTGATGGAGAACTCCCTGGGCCATTTAGTCCATGCTCTGTATTTTGCACAAATTTTGTGAACTTAACTGAAACTCATCCTCCCAAATTTTTATCTGTTGTGAGAAGCCTAAAAAATCGACAGCCTTTAACAGATCAACAGTGGGCCATGATCATTTTATGTGGGTTTACTTTTTTTGCTATTTGTGTGGCCATCATCATTCAGCAAGGACTTTCTTAGCAGTAGAAACATTTTACAGTTAAATTTTCAAGGTGTATTTTTAAATAGAAAATTCCAATTTTTTTTGTATATATGTGTACTGTGTGCTTGTACATGTTTCAAATTCTGTAGTAACATACAATTTATTTTCCTGAATGAGAGTGAGCTTGATTTAATCTGGAGTGTAATTTTTGAGAATACTACTTGATTCAAGAAAATATTTTTATAGGATATTGATTCTTTTATATATATATATATGATGCATATATCTATATATCTATATATATATACATAACATACACACATTCCTATTTCATCTACCTCTCGCTTCTGTCATTTCAATCCCAAATTTTCAGAGAGGTGTTTGTTAGTCTTTCTGTGCAATGTGTTTTCCTTGAAATAAGTATATGGTGCTGTTCTGATGTGTATAGTGTTACTTCCATTTCAGATTGTGCATGCCAATGTAATGGTGCTGGCCTCTTGGAAAAGTGGTATAACATTGAATAAAATATGGTGTATGTTAGATTATATTTTTTATTTGCATTATGTAGATTATTTTTCTTTTGCCCAAAACATGAGAAAATGTAGATCTTGCTGAAATATGTGATAATCGATTTATACCTGTTTCTTCTCGTTTGAATTAAATATTTGATCTTTGAGTGTTTCTTGGCTGTTTTATTGAAGTGTGTGATCTTTGGGGCATTTTTTGTGTATGTGAGATAACTGTATATTAAATATTCATTATTTTTATATATTCAACTAAGAACTGTAATACGAAGTTACAACTGCTTCAGTATTCTCAGACATGCCTAAGCATAAATTATTTGAAATGATATATTGTTAGTATGTGTATAATCATTATATAAAAATATGAAGTAATTTCTTTATTTCTCCTCCCCCCTCTTTTTTGTTGTTGTTATGCTTTCATACTTGCCATAGTATAGCTTTGTGATGTTGAGAAAGTATGCATTACTGTAATTGAAGGTATTTTAATTTTTCACAATATCTAAATCCAGTTTTCCAGAGCTATGTATTGGACAATTATACTTATTTGATTTTTCCAACTTGTGTCATTTTTAAAGGATATATTTTGAATAATAAGCTTGGTTTTAGGATGTATTTATATATAGTTTGTGTATAAAAATGTTCTGTATTTTGGGTTTGCTGGTGAATTTGAAAGAGATTCTTAGTATTTTTATTATATCTCTGTTTATAATTATGTAAAATATTCTGCTATTAGCAGTGCATTTAGAATCAATCTTATTTAAATGAGTATTATTATGTGCTGATTTACTGAATTGTTTTAACTTCATCTTTTAATGTTAGTGACTGATAAAAAAAATGAAGAACGGGTATGCTTCATTTTAAGTAATTATTTTACAATGATTTTGTTAATGTTTGCAGTTTGTTAGGAGGTACTTTATGAAAAGTAAATATTTATACTTTGTTACACAGTAGTTATGTGCTGGCACGTGTAAAATAAATATATTCTGTTCACATTCTGTTGTACTTATGTTTTGCATTTATTTATGTATTGTTAGTTTGATTTGTAAAAAAAAAAAAAAAAAAAAAAAAAAAAAACCACTTTACCACATTAAAATATTTTATATCCATAAATGAAGATTTTTTTCATTCTTTTCATTTTTTTCATATTTGTGATGATTTTTTTTTTTTTTTTTTTTTTTTTTTTTTTGCAATAAAATATTAAAGTAATATATTTTTTGTATGAATATTTTGGTACAAGTCATTCCATTCCAGTTAGAAACTTTAGCCAGATATACTGATACAAATCAGATAATCTAGGTATGCATTCCCCTCCTTTTTAAGCTAATTTTAAATTTTCATGTTAGTATAAAAAAATTTAGATGTTTTCTAAACTGGTTCTCACTTGCATGGCAGAATATATTATTTTGTTATAACAGCTCAGAAACAGTTCATGAACTTAGAACTTTTCTTGGAATACTTAACTTTTATCGTTGTTACATAAAAGATGCAGCGAAGAATCAAGCATTGTTACATGCGTATCTTAAGGGAGCTAAAAAGAGGGACAAATGAAAAATGAATGGATGGACTGAAGAAAAAAAACAGTTTGAAAAGTGCAAGAAATGACCTGGTGAACACAGCACTGTTGTGTTTTCCCAAATTTAACTACCTCGGGCGTTATTTACAGATGCTTCAGATACAGCGATTCGCTCAGTGTTGCAACAATATGAAAACTCCTCGTGGGAAACCAATAGCATTTTTTTCTAAAAAATTATACGATACTCAGCAAAAATATATGCTTCATAGTTCTCTATCATAGAGAACTATTAAGCTATATCTTTCAGTTAGACACTTTAAGCATTATCTAGAAGGAAGAGTATTTACAATTTATACAGATCACAAGCCTTAATATTCGCCTTTTGTCAAAAACTGACAAGCAGCACCTAGACAGGCTCGCCAACTTCAATACATCTCCAGTTTTCGACTGATATGAAATATGTAAAAGGTGAGAATAGTATTGTGGCGGATACATTATCTAGAGTTATTGAAATTTCATCGATAGATTATGATAAAAAGATGATGAGCAAACTCAGATGAACTGAAGAGTTTGCAAACCACTACTTCCGAATTTAAAGCATGTTCTCTACTTTCGGGAAGATATTTGTGATGTGATACATTAACTAAACATATTCGGCTGTATATTCCTCAAGCTTTCAGAAAACACGTCTTTCAGCGAATTCATGGTTTATCACATCCAGGAATAAAATCGACTGTGAAATTAATGACATCAAAATTCATTTGGCCTAACATAAAAAAGGTGTACAGTTGTGGACAAGAACCTGCATTCCTTGCCAAAAAACTAAAATCAGTCAGCATACCAAAACAAAATTAGGTCAGTTTGAAGTAACACCAGGAAGATTTTCTATCATACATATTGATCTCATTGGACCACTTCCCCCATCTAAAGGGAATATTTATTGTCTTACTTGCATAGATAGGTTTTCGAATTGGATGGAAGCAATTCCTTTAGAAAGTATTTCAGCTGAGAATGTCGCACGAGCCTTTTATAGCAACTGGATTGCACGTTTCGGAACGCCAAGTAAACTCATTAGTGATCGTGGATCCCAATTTAAAAGTGATACATTACAAGCTTTGTTCAAAATCTGTGGCATCAGTTTACGACACACTACTGCCTACCACCCCTCGTGTAATGGCAAAGTTGAGCGCCTTCATCGAACATTAAAAACAGCATTAAAAGCCCACAACAACATATCTTGAACGGACACATTACCAACAGTACTTTTGGGTTTGCGTACTGCTATTCAAGAAGATACAAATCATTCTATTGCACAAGTAATTTATTCTGACCGGATATTTGTACATAAAGACTTAAAAAATTGTTCTCATGTGTTTCAGCGAATAGATTGGATAAAAGCACCTCTGGAACCTCCTTATGAAGGACCATTTCTTGTTATTGATCTCAAGGACAAATTTTACTATTAACATAAAAGGAAAACATGTTAATATATCCCTGAATCGTTTGAAACCAGCATATTTTTTAGCTGAGGAAAATTCCCAGTTGACACAACCTGACAACAGGTAACTTGCAGAGACCGGACTCAAATTTAGATGTAAATCAAAAACATTCTCGCACAGGCAGAACTATACGTTTACCTGTTAAATTCAAAGGCTTGACTCTAAATTATTCTGATAGTGGTTAACACTGCAGTGGCAGTTACTACCTATTTCTACATCTTTGTAACGTAACTTAGTTACTGGTGGGGGAGTAGTGTAGTGGCCTAGTTATTGCATGAGAAATAATTACTTTTTATTTCATATATTTGTTCATGTGTTTAATTATTTTACAAAATTAACTTTAATATTTTGTTAATATTCATATTTATATTTCTTTAATGCTGAATGGCAGCAAGTAGTTCATATTTATATTTAAATTTCTTTATGCTGAATGGCAACTAGTTCTGATTCATGATTGCTTCTGATCATGAAATTCTGAATTTTTGGTTTCAAAACGTTGCTCGTAGGGTCGCATTTCGATAGCTGGAAAATAAAATGCAATAAACTTAGCTATTTGTTTATAATTTATGCTGTTCCTAATCATAAATTAATTTTAAACATTAGTAGCCAAGGCCACAATACACTATTGGCTGTGTATCACAAGATTGACGACGAAAGCCAAGTTGTTTCGCTAAATTTCATCTTGCTCCTATTGCGTACTGAATTAAGCCTGTATTAGTTTAGTTATTTACTATACCTAGGTTTATTTCTTGCACATGCTTAAAACTAATCTGTGTCTTGAAAAAATAAATTACCACACATACTTAAGGCTTTATCCAGAGCCGTAGCTAGATACCGCCTGGTGCAGTCTCTACAGGTCCTAAATTCTGCTACAAAGCGCCTTCCTAAGTTCTAAATTTTCACCACGCCTAAACTTTGGATTCCAGTGCTTTCCCTAAATCGTAAAAAACTTCTCATTTCTTAATTTTGCCGCTCGGTGCTTCCCCAAATTCCAAAAATTTCGTCTTCTGTAAATTCTGCTGTCCCGTGCCGACATAGTCTGCCGCCGCTTCTGGGTTTATGATGAATAACATATCGATTATTTTTAATTAAAATATCACTAAATGTAATCTTTTAGCCTATGAGTTTCATTAACAAAATCTATTTTTAGCATATGAAAAGAAATTTTTGTTGAGTTTTTCTTCGTCAACATTTCTTAGAGCATTTAAAAATCTATAATCATCGGCAAGCGTAATGTTAGCATAAAAGGTTGCCATACTCATGTTATTCAATTACTAATATAAAAAAAATTTATAGTCATCACTGCATGAGTTATTACTGAAGCTGTCATGTATTGATAAACATGCGGTAATTTAAACAAAATATAATAAATAATGACTCGCCATGTACGTGTCAGGGATGTAAAATAGGTGAATGTTTCGGTTTGAGATGTATGCCAAGCAGATATTCAGCTACGGAGCCAAATTATTAATCTCACAAATTTATCCTTACATGATTGTTTTTCCATAACGAGGTATTTTATTTAGTGCCTAAGTGAAATTAAGAATCGGAATTTTTAACTGAAAATCTTCACATGTTTTATTATGGAAGGAGAAATCAAATGCGCATGCGTAAAGCATATGAAAAAAATATTTGTGGCTTTGAAGTACGGATTTTTCATCATTCCGGATAATGGACGTCCGGATTTCGGACTTTGTACAGTATATATAAAGTGGTTCCCAAACTGTGTGCTGTGGCGCTCCGGGGTGCCGTGAAATATTAGAAAAGCTTCATAAGGTATTGAACTAAGACATTTACTCTGAGCTTCCAAAAAAGTGATAAACTACAAATAACTAGATATTTTGTTTGGTTTGTTTTTACTTGACCCTGCATAAAAGTAGAGTCGCCAATGCAAAATATTCTTGCGAACACGAGGCGGCAACGCCGCGCGTTCTCGCTCGCAGCTATGGTCATTTCTTCTACGGCAGCGGATGTTCATGTAACAGTAGTTAGTGCTTACATAGCTGACCCTTGTACTTACCAAGTCTTATTTCTTTATATAGATGTTGTAAGACCACAGATCCTAGATGATGTTTTAGCCCCTCTCCTTCGAATCGTCAAAGTAGCAGGAAACGACGGAGAAGTCGTGTGTGGTATGATAGACCTCACTACTTACCTGTAAACCGAAAAATTATAGAGACGATTGAAATTGTTATAAGAACGCACACAGGGGAATTGGCGCCATTTGAGTACGGACGTACATACGTGAAACTTGGCCTACCAGCGGCCGAACAGTAAAGTCGCTGAACACTGGTAGTTCGGTCCGAGGTTCGAATCCCGCGAACGGGCCGGCTACATAAGCGTTTTCGTGGTTTTCCCCATGTGTAACGTGTATACGATCCAGTTACCCTTAGAAAGTCCTCCACGAAGGCATCCCTTCCCTTAGGCAGATAGCCCTCGTGTGCTTTGCCATAATTAAATACACCAACACCATACGTGAAACTTTTATTTCGCCAAAAATACTTATCATGACCATACCAGTGTTGTCAAAAATCTTTTGAAGATTACTACTTACAGTAAACAGGTGATGGACGTAATTTTTACCAAAGTGTACCTCACCAGAAAGGATATGATTTTCGTGGCTTATTTAGATCATTTTTTTCGAGCAGCAGTTCCTCTTTTCAAGTCGGGCACTAAAGCAGTTGGTAAACAAATGCTACAAACAGGACTAAGCGTATTAAATGATGTATCTCAATGAAATAATTTGAAAGATTCCGTCAATAAACGCTTCAAAGAAGCTGGGCGCGAACTTACCGACAAAGCCGCTCTAAAAGTAAAGAACATGATTGGTTCTGGAAGAAATAAAAAGAGAAGACTTGCTAGAAAATCAGTCATTTCACGTCGAACAAAGAAGGTGAGAGCATCACCCGATATTTTTTCTTAAGATGACTTCGTTTATTCGTAAAGATTCTCCAGCTTGTGTGAAATCAGAATTGGATTTGTTTCTAATACCTCCTACACAAACGGCTATCGAAAAAGGACAGTATGTTGAATATCACCCTCTCTCGAATATACGTGACGGTGGTCCAGTCGAATTTAACATTTCGGGTACTGGCGAAGACTATCTTGACTTAAGTTCATCGTATATTTATGTTAAAAGTTAAAATCGCGAAAGCAAATGGATCAGCCTTAACAATCAAGGATTATGTATCCCCTGTGAATTTTATTTTTACATGCATTATTCTCACAAGTAGATGTGAGTTTGAACGAAAGAATCATATCGGCTTCTACGAATACGTATCCTTACCGTGCTTACATTGAAACATTACTGAACTATGGAGAAGATGCCAAGAAAAGTTTACTCACCTGTGAATGCTTCTACAAAGATACCTGTCTCACCGAAGTGAATCCATTGGCGGATAAACCGAAACGAAGGTCTGAAAAAACGATTAGAACTCATCAAAGGCAGTAACACTCTGGATATGATTGGTCAACTTCACTGTGATATTTTTCAGCAAAACAGACTTTTACTCAATTTAGTAGATGTCAAGATCATCTTACAACGCAGCAAAGCACCCTTCTGTTTAGTGTCACCCGAAGAAAAAGCAGATTATAATGTTATTCTCGAACATGCTTCCATGTTTATTAGAAAAGTGAAAGTGAGTCCAGGGGTCTCTCTAGGCCATGCGAAAGCACTAGAAAAAAGTACTGCCAAATATCCCATTGACCGAGTCTTATGTAAAACATATTCCGTTTCAGAAGGAAGTTGGTCATTTCTTCAAGATAATGTTTTCTTGGATGTTATGCAGAAACGTGTGATCATCACCTGTCTCTCCAATGCAGCTATGAACGGACAGTACAAATCCAATCCATTCGTGTTTCATCATTATAACGTGACCTTTTTATCCGTGTATATCGACGGACACCCTATACCGGGCAAACCACTGGAGCTCGATTTTGATTCGAACAATTACATAAGAGCTTATCATAGTCTGTTTTCAGGATTTAATCGAGACAGAGGGATTTATTTATCAAGAGATGATTATTCTGCCGGTCATACCTTATATGCATTTGATTTGACACCAGACTTGTGCAACGATTCTCATCTGAACCTACAACAACAAGGCAATTTACGAGTAGAATTAAAGTTTTCGAAAGCTCTGACTGAAACTATTTCGGTACTTATTTATGCTGAATTTGAAAACGTGATTGAGATAAACAAATCTCGGCACGTATTATGTGATTTCACAAATTAAATATGAATACAATTCAACTGCATCGCATCCTGTTCTCGAATATTTTTACGCGAGATGCCTTTTTAGGGGTGTTTCCGAGCGATCACTTACCTCATATTGTGATTGAGAACTATCCATCGCGTTTCATCGCTAATGTGGATTCGACAGAAGAACCTGGAAGTCATTGGTTGGCCTTCTATATTCCATCACCCCTGCAAATGGAGTTTTTCGATTCTTATGGTCACCCTCCCTCAGCATTTTTAGGAGAAATTTCGGATTTCGCCTCGAGATATGCTCAAGTGGAATATAACCCCATACCTTTACAAAGTGACGGAACAGCCGTATGTGGACATTATTGTATCTATTTCCTATATTCCAGATGTCGCGATATTCAATGAAGAATGTATTACATCATTTTATTCCTAAAAATATATGTAACGATAGAAAAGTTTATGATTTTGTAACCAATCATTTTCGTGTACGCACTCCATTCCTTCAATAAAAATGCATTTAAATGATTAATTATGTGTCTTGTCATCATTTACCATGGAGTTTCCAAAACTGCAGCATCCTTTTACTATGGTCATCGCGGGACCCACAGGTTGTGGGAAAACATTTTTTGTGAGGGATCTGATTAAATATAAGAAGGACATGTTTTCGATCGTGCCCGATAAAATTGTCTGGTTCTACGGGATCCACCAACCTCTTTACGAAGAAATGGAAGATAATATTACATTCGTAGAAGGACTACCCAAGAACTTTCGCGAATTTTTAGGTGTGCATACTTTATTCATATTAGATGACTTGATGCAAGAAGGAACAAAAGATAATCGTTTAACTCAGCTGTTTAGTAGAGGAAGTCATCACTTAAACTTAAGTATTATTTTTATAACGCAAGATTTTTTTTCATAAAGGTAAAGAAACGCGAGATGTGACTTTAAATGCACACTATTTAATACTTTGTAAAAATCGCAGAGATATGAGTTAGATATCTAACTTGGGAAAACAACTCTTTCCTAGAAACTTAAAATTTTTTCAAGAAACTTATGAAGATGCAACTAAGAAACCCTATACTTATTTGCTCATTGATCTGCGCGCCGATACACCGGAAGAATTACGTTTGCGCACAAATATTTTACCTCATCAAACGCAATACGTATATCAACCTAAGCATTATTAAACAGAGTTCATTTAAAAAGATGACAGTGACGGAAGAGCATCAAAGACAGCTGAAATTACTTCAAATTTGTCCTAAAAAATTATTGAAAGAAGTCCTGAAACGTGTCCCCTCTTCGTGTATAAAAGCCATATGTGAATGCTGCCTGAATACTTTAAAAGGAAACGTACCTCTTTCAAAGCATCAAAAGAGACATCTTCGGAAGCATAAACAGACCTTAAGAAAATTAGCGTATGAAAAATCTCCTATTCGGGAAAAACGCAAGTGGATTGTACAAAAAGGTGGTTTTCTCAACGTATTGATTCCTGCAGCTTTAAGTGCCATTACTGCAATCTTAAATGGAACACGTTAAAAAGTACGTTTTAATACCCGAAGGGTCCGTGACCAAACCTTCCGAAAAACATGCCAATGAATTAGATCGCGAAATGTCACGCATTCTCAACAGTTCCCTAGCAGAAGATGAAAAAGTCAAGTTATATTATGAACTTTTACAAAAGAAATTAAAAATGCAGTATTTTAACCCACCTTGGATTATCGGAAAAAAGAAATTTGATGAAGGAATGAAAAAAGAAATGCAATCTCCCTCTGAGAAACGTCAAAATAAAAGCTATGAAGATATTGTGATGAATAGTGTTCCTACAAATTTACGGAAATATGCCAACAATATTCTCGACATTTTCAAGAAATATCCTGAAGTTATCAGATGGAATGAACTGGGCGAAATATTCTACCGAGACGAATTAGTGGAAAATTCTAATATTGTGGACTTGATGGCTATACTTTTAACAAACTCAAAAAAATCTCCGAAAGGAAAAGATAAATTTTTAACAGCTATCGAGAATTTAAATATACCATCTCATTATATTAAAAATAAAAATCTGTATGATGTGAAAAATGTAAAAATGGTATCCGAAGATACTTTAACGGATGTTTCTGATGTAAAAGAATGGTTATCTTTGGAATAAACAAATGACTTTAACTTTTGTGTGTCTCATACTTTTCAAACACATCACTCATTCGATTGACTCTTTACTATCCTACCATAGTAATGAATGTTTCCTGTTATCTGTTTACTATCCTACCATAGTAATGAATGTTTCCTGTTATCTGTTTACAAGGATGATTTATCTGTTGATTAGGATACCTTTTGATAATATATAGTAATCCATAAACTATCATTTCCCTAATCCCATGTTTACTATTGCCTTATCTGTTTAACTTGAATTCACTCATTTCGATCAGAGGTTAGATTGATGTCACTCGTTAGTATCAAGTGATGATTCATGAACAAGGGTCACACGATGGTATTGAAATCTGATGATTAACGAAATCATGTGACAAATGTTCTAGAATGTTCCAAATGAAATCATTAGCATTTGATTGGTTAGAGAAAAATTACCCATAATTCCTGCGATGTGTATATAAAGTCCAGCATGCTCAGACAATCTCATATTGCATCTTGATTTGGTATTATCTATCAAGTATTCAACATTTAAAGTAAAAAATGGAAAACTTCTATAACGATGTTGCTGCTGACCATGTCATCAGTTTGGTTCCTGAACATGTAAGTTTTAATTTTATTTTGTGAAATATTTTATTTTGTGAAAATTACTTTAGGGTGGATCACCCTTTTAAGACCTTTTATGTGAGGGATTTTTTTTTAATGTAAAATATATAAAATTAAATATTACTCATAAAGTTTTTCAGTATTTTGCTGGGAATACTAAATGTTTCATATGAATTACATAGTGAATTTTTAGTATCGGTATATGTTTTGAGCGTTTGAATTTTTAGTGTCGTAGTATGTTTTGAGTGTCTATTAGGAAAGTTTAAACTAAACGTAATTTAAAAATGTTTCATACATTTTTGCATTTAAAATGTTTCAGGCATAAATTTGATAATTTTAAAGCTTGAGTGTATATGTGAGGGAAAATTTTTTAAATGTAAAATATAAAATTAAATATTACTCATAAAGTTTTTCAGTATTTTGTTAGACATGTTTTAGGTATGTTTCATATAAAGTCGGTGTTTAACATTTTTTTAGTAAAGTTTGAGTGTTTGAATTTTTAGAATCTGTTAGGAAAGTTTAAACTTATCAGGTTCAATGTTCCGTCTTACGTTCTTCGGGAACATGCAAAGACCTGACTCGGAACAGAGAGCTTACTAAAGCTATGTTCAATAACTGTGGGAAGTAGACAGGATACACAAGAAGGGTATACAAAACCCTTTATTTTTCTCTATTTACAATAACTTCCGTACTTCGGAATACAAAGACCCACTACTTGTGGTCTAAACGTAAAAATATAAAAATAAAACTAAACTCTTAACTTTGAAATAATAAACGTGGAAGATTGGCCTTATATTAACAGGAAGCCGTATGTAGTACAGAGAACTGTGAACACTACAATACGTTTAAAAATTATCAAGAGGATTAAACCTCTGGCCTGGAAGGGCAACCAGCAACTGAGTAAAACTTCTAAGGTAAGCGGCCTGCTTCGAACTAACTGCTTCCTCTCTCTCGCTTGGCAAAAAGCCACAACTTAAATACTTGGCGTTCGCCAGACAAACTTTGCATAAATACGTTAACGCTTATAATTCTGGCCGGAAGAGGAAAATAAGAAGTGATAGTAAAGATTTAAAATAAAATAAACGTTAGTAAAACTTAAGATCCTTACATACTTCCCGCCAGAGTTAATTAGTTTGAAACTGAGGTCTAAAACGACCTTGTTGAAAACTTTTAGCTCTAGAATCTAACGCGAGGCCAATCTTTTACAAACATCTTTCGCTAGAAACTAGAAATTTAAAAGAAAGAAATTTGTTTTTACAATAGCAGCTCCCAGGACACGCAATTTTTTTCATCTGTACTGCATCTAAACAGGAGCTTTATTCAAATCTGGTTCCTTCCAGAGATCTGGAAGGAAAACTAGTTTAATGAAATGTTACACAATGAAATGGCAAGTAACATGTATAATTATATTTCTCTTAACATTCTTATTTCATTCATGACTATTTTAATTATCTCTCCCCGTGCTCTCTGACATGTGTTGTAAAAGAACCCCAAACACGAATGTGTTTATGTCTACGTGTTCAACACTTCCTCCTACAATCAAAGCACTAACGTGTTAAAAATTCAACATACCAAGACCTCGTAACACACCCTAACTTCAACTCTAAACCCTGAGGTACTATTCTGAAAGTGGCTAACTCTGAAGTGTAGCGTCAGAGAGCCTAACTACATTCATTCAACCTTTAACTCATATTCATCATAATTTAGTCTTTTTACAGTCACACGAATTAAAAAAAATTTTTTTTTGACATTACTTTCACTTTTACCATATCACGGTATTTCTTAACATTTAAAATAACAGTTCACATTGTATATAAGAACATATTAACATGCCGTTAATTTTACGCATTTGAAAACATACATTAGTAGTACATTGTTAACTTCTATTCTTTTCAAAGCAAGTGCCAATTCTTTCTACATTGAAATAATACATTTCAAAAAGTCTTTCAGACTAAAACTTCTTTCTTGCCAGAATGTTTTAAATAAAATTTATACAATAACTTTTACAATATTTAAGTATTTACACATTGCTATTATACATCAACTTTAGTTTTACGCGCGAGTAATTGAAAAACATAATACCAAAATCGGTAACAACTCATTTCTCGCCCTTTTGGCGATAAAGGTAGACCTCGCATGAGGTAAAACTTCTTGAAATCTGCCACTTGCAGTAAGAATGAAAGATTAACTTAAGTTTGCAAAGTAACATAAAATTTTACTTATCTTTGTGATATTCGGACATTCTTTTCACTGAGCCCAGTCCTGGAAGGTAGCGCA